TGTACAGATGTTCCACAAGTGGAGCGTAAGCACATAAAGCATGGAATAAAGTAATTCCACCCACGCAAATCAGAGAAATGCACACTTTTCATAATTGACTCAAATCTCATAAAGGTGCGTTGGTAATTATGCACCCACCAGCTGCTGACAAACCGCTGTCTGCAAAGAAATGATCAAACCGTGTCTTCCAAACGAGAAACGCTACATGGAATAGAGGTAGAAGAAAGAACGAGCTCCCTGAAAAAGAAGCTGGGTGATCTAAGAGTTAAAGATACTAACATATTAGGTGATGGCAATTATGTGGATGTAGAATCGGAAGCAGTCGACAACAGCACTAATCCAAAGAAAAGAAATGACATCATCTGAATATGTAATGAGATACTCACAGTGGCTTCCCCAGTCTCCCTCTCTTGAGGAGAGAATTAAACTCTATGATCTCTGAATTGTGGGGTACTCCCCGAGGGTTGGTTACCCTGGCTTGTGTTGGAAATCCCTGACAACTCAGAAACTGTAGATTGGGTATTATCGAGGCACCACCTCGACTCTGACCAGGAATTAAAACTATTTACAAACACAACGGTACCAGTGGTGTTGCTGGACTTGAAAAACTATGTATACTATTTACAGATCAAGGAGTGCCTCCATGTTAGTCATGTCCTGATCATCCAATTGAACCTCATCACTACTGGGAGGACGAAGATGATGTCCATATGGGTAGGACTCTAATGTGTCAGGGTCCACTAATCATTTGTCAAATACAACACCATATCGTTTGGTTCGAGGACCCACCTGGAGGTGTTTGGTGGCTGGATCTCTCATGAAGAAGTATGGGTTTACCACATCGATGTTTCTACGTTTGTCTAGAGGGTCGATCAATTCATCAAGGAGATTTTGCCTTATGATGTTGTAGTTCAGCTGTTGTTGACCACATACATTGAGGGTGAATCCTTGGACTTTACCGCATACTTTTCTCTGTTTGGTCTTATAACCATAATTTTTGGGACCCGCTGGTGAGAAATCAACGATTTGATCATCTCCTTCTAACTCGTCCATCATGTTTCCCAAGAAATCGCCAAGAGGAATGTCAGTCTCTTCGGGTTTGCACGAAAAAATTAAGGAGGCTCTGTCAAAGTACATGACCTGTTGTTGGAGTTGTTGGAGGTAACTGTACAATTTTAAATGGGCCCAACATGTCATGAAGGCAGCCACGAAGATGTTTACGTGCTCATTGTTAGGTTGGCCTTCGCTAAGATGAGAGTAATTGACTTCTAAGACTTCATTGCTGAATATTCTTACGGCGTGGATGTTGTACATCCTGTCTGACACAAGATGGAAGAGATGGGCCGGGGTGGTGATGGCTTCAGTGGTTTTTTNTTGCTGGACTTGAAAAACTATGTATACTATTTACAGGTCAGGGAGTGCCTCCATGTTAGTCATGTCCTGATCATCCAATTGAACCTCATCACTACTGGGAGGACGAAGATGATATCCATATGGGTAGGACTCTAATGTGTCAGTGTCCATGAATCATTTGTCAAATACAACACCATATCATTTGGTTCGAGGACCCACCTGGAGGTGTTTGGTGGCTGGATCTCTCATGAAGAAGTGTGGGTTTACCACATCGATGTTTCTACGTTTGTCTAGAGGGTCGATCAATTCATCAAGGAGATTTCGCCTTATGATGTTGTAGTTCAGCTGTTGTTGACCACGTACATTGAGGGTGAATCCTTGGACTTTACCGCATACTTTTCCCTGTTTGGTCTTATAACCATAATTTTTGGGACCTGCTGATGAGAAATCGAGGATTTGATCATGTCCTTCTAACTCGTCCATCATGTCTCCCAAGAAATTGCCAAGAGGAATGTCAGTCTCTTCGGGTTTGCACGAAAAAATGAAGGAGGCTCTGTCAAAGTACATGACCTGTTGTTGGAGTTGTTGGAGGTAACTGTACAATTTTAAATGGGCCCAACATGTCATGAAGGCAGCCACAAAGATGTTTACAAGCCCATTGTTAGGTTGGCCTTCACTAAGATGAGAGTAATTGACCTCTAAGACTTCATTGCTGAATATTCTTATGGCGTGGATGTTGTACATCCTGTCTGACACGAGATGGAAGAGATGGGCCGGGGTGGTGATGGCTTCAGTGGTTTTTTTTGTAAATTTTCACCAAACGTCCT